CGGCACCATGCGGAAGAGCGCGGCCATGAGCGAGCTCTTGCCCGAGCCGGTGCGGCCGCAGATGCCGACCTTGGCGCCCGACGGCACCGTGAAGCTGATCTCGTTGAGGACGAGGTCGAGGTGGTCGCGGTACCGCATCGAGTAGTTGCTAAAGGTGATGACACCCTGCGCAGGCCACGACGCGTCGACGGTGACGCGCTCGATCGTCGTGTCATCCTCGCTGGGCAAGGCCTCGTAGGTGCTGAGGCGCTCGACCGACGTCATGAGATTCTCGACCGTGTTGAGCATCTTGGACATGTTGGACAAGAAGCCCGAGAGCTGCGACGCGTACGTGAGCGTAAGGCCGGCGGCAGCAATACCGATCGAGGACTTTGTCAAAATGCAAATGAAGGCGACGCCGGTGATGATGGCCGCGCTGAGCCAGTCGAGACGCATCTGGAACCAGCGGGCCGAGCACTGGAACAAGAACGAGAAGCTCACGTAGTGGTCCAAGGCGGTGCGTTGGTTGGTGAGGAAGGTTTCCGTCATGTTGAACGCGCGGATGGTCGAGAGGCCGCTGAGCGTCTCCGAGACCAAGGTCACAACGGGCGTGCGGCTAATGCTCTCGAGTCGCTTGAGCTCCCCCGACGTCTTGTTGTAGTACTGCTGCACCTTGTAAAAGAGGTAGGCGAGCGGTGCGTAGACCACGAGGATCCATGGCGTCGAGATGACGCAGACAATGAGGACGGCGACAATCTGGAAGAGAAACTGCAGAAGCAACAGACCAAAGTACGGCAGCTGCGAGTCGGTTTGATCCAAGTCGCTCGAGAACCGGTTGAGGATCCGACCCATGGGCGTCACGTCAAAGAAGGTTGGGACCGGCGCGCCAATGACCTTGTGCACGAGCATCGAATGGAGTGACTGCGAGCACTTGATCGCGACCATGAGCACGTACAGAGATCGACCGTAGACGAGGAAGACCGAGACGACCGCGCACCCGAGGTAGATGTATCCGGACGAGATCTTGGCCATCATGTCGGTGTGGTTGGACCAGTAGCTCATGAACCAATCGGTCATGGCCAGCGCCGTCTGCGAGACCGTAAAGAACGTGATGATGGACGCGGCGACGACCGCCCTACAGTTATACCATTTAGTCTGGCAACGATCAAGTGCTGTGAGAGCGTACCCGTTGTAGCCACTCGAGCCAAAGTACGTCTTGTACGTCGTGGTCGAGACGGCGCCCTTGGCGCGATCTTCCTTGTCCATGAGCCCGCCGCCGCCCGTTTTCGGGCTCATCGGCTTGGCCGGCTTCTTGACGTTATTCGTCGAGACAGCCTTGTCTACGCCGGCGTCTTCAGCGGATGAGCTCGACTCGGTAAAGTTCATCAGGTGCGGGAACGTCGACTTGAGCGACTCGTACGTGCCGTCACCGACGATCGACCCGTTGTCCATGAGCAAAACGCGATCGGCGAGCGGCAGAAAATGGTAGTGGCTGTTGAGCACCAGGACCGTCGTCTTGCCGCCAAGGAGACCGCGAATGCACTCGTGAAAGACCGCCGTTGCCACGTGCACGTCGAGGGCGCTGAGTGGATCGTCGAGGAGGTAGATGTCGGCCTTGCGGTGGTACACGCCGCGGGCGAGGCTCACGCGCGCCTTTTGGCCGCCGCTCAAGTTGATGCCACGCTCGCCAATCTCGGTCGCATCACCGTCCGGCAGCATCTCCAAGTCGGGCGTGAGCTGGCACGCAGAGAGAACTGCTTGGTAGTAGTCGTCGTCGCAGTCAGAATGGAAAAGAATGTTCTTCTTGAGCGTCGCGTGCTGGATCCAAGCTTCTTGGTTGACGTACGAGATGTTGCCGACGACGTTGCGAACACCGCCGACTTGGTGGATTTCGCCAAGGATCGCGCTCACGAGGCTCGACTTGCCGCTACCGACAGGCCCCACCACGATCGTCAGACTCCCGGGTGTCAGCGAAAACGTCAGGTTCTGCAGTGTGAGCGGCGGCGCCTCCGAGACGGTTGCTGGTGCGGCCCAGCTGAACGCCGCGTCCGTCATCTCGACCGTCGACGGGCCATCTTGGATCGCCAGACCTAGCGCACATGGAGCTCAAGCCGCCAAAGGATCAGAAGAGTCTGTACTCGAGGGTGTGATTTCGTCGGACGACAAGTACTTGCTGATGCGCTGGCAGGACGCGACCATCTCGGACGTCATCATGACGGCGGTCGAGAAGACCGTGCACGGGAACCGCGCAATGTTCATGTAGGCAAGCGCTGTGAACGCGACGGGCGACGTGAGCTCGTTGCCGAGGGCGACGTAGACCATGAGGCAGATCGCGAGCGAGATGACGGGCGCAATGTACAAAATGACCGTGTTGAACGTCCGCCGCGTCTGGTACGCCGAGAGCAGCACGAGCTCTTGGTCGCGGATCACGGCCAATTGCGCCTCCAAGCTCGTCTCCCACGCGTAGAGCTTGACGACGCGGATGCCCTGGAGCACTTCGTTGGTGAGTTTGACGCGCTCGGCTTGGACCTTGAGGAGAGCGCGGCGGACCTCGCCGACCTTGCGCCCCGAGACAAAGCCGATGTAGAGGAAGAGGAACATTGTTGCGCCGCCGCAGACGCCGACGACCGCGCCGAGCTGGCTGCCAATCATTATGTAGACCGCGACCAGCATGACGGGGCCGATGACAGCCCAGTAGCCAAAGCTAAAGCCCAGAAAGAGACGCTCGGCGTCCACGGACGCGAGCGTGACGACCTCGCCGGTGGTCATTTCTTGTTTGGCGAAACCCGAGAGCGTGAGCGTCTTGCGGAAGACCATGTCGATCGCAATCGACTTGGCGTTGCAGCCCGTGTGCGTGTTGGCGTACTGCGCATAGTCGATGAGCGTGACCGAGAAGAACGAGAGCAGCGTGAGGAGCGTCGCGAGCACGTAGCCGTCGTGGATGTGCATGGACGTATGGACGACCGGGTCTTGAGCTAGGAACTGCAAGATGGACTGGATCAAGATGGGCTGCAGTAGCATGATGCCGGCGTACGCAACGTAGAGAAAGAGGCCCCAGAGGATCTGGGTTCGGAACGTATGCCACATTGTGAGATGGATCCGCGGCACAGGCTTCTTCCTCTCGAGCGCCCAGTGCTTCTCAAAGCGGTCGTAGAGCACGTGCGCCGTGTCGTTGGCGGGTAGCGGCCACGTGTCGGCCTCGGTGAGCGGCGCCTTCGCACCCCGCTGGATGAGGCCGTCCATCCACGCAATCGTGAGCACCGAGGCCCAGTTCGCGGTCTCGCGCGGGTTGACGTCGCGGGTCTTGGGCGGCGCGCCCGCTCGGGGCGTTAGCACGGCGACGTACTCGGCCATGTGCGATATGCGTTACAAGAGCATACTTTAACCAAGTGTTTGGTTTGGACCGACGGGTGTCGGAGTCAAGGTGATTCGGTGCTGGCGCGTACGTACAAGAGAAAAGATCGCAACGCTACGAGAGCTAACTATTAGTACACGTGTAAACCTTCGTTCATATAGGGTTGACGCCATTATGGTTGACCCTGAAAGTCTTGGAGTGGCGGTGGTTCAAAATGACCATCATTGACATCCGAGTGTTGGTCAATCCATCGGTGTTGGGATTGACATCTTTGGTTGTCTTGCGCGCAGCTTTTGCGCGCAGGACACTATTGATACTCCTCTTGGTACCACATTATATAGCGATGTCTACCTACCTGTACTACGAACCTAGGTACACGCGAGTACGGAAGGCTTGGGTGACCGGCCGTGGTGTCAGTGTGGCATCCGACCTTGGAATGAGACCGAAACGATCTGTGGAAGAAGACAGACGACTTCAGCAGCGCTCAACCTGTTTCAGGACGTACATAATGTACTAAGTACAGTCGTAGCATTGGCCTGTCTTCGCGGGTACACCTTTTTAAACATTAGAAGTGCAGGGGTTTTGCTGCTGCCTGTGCTTGCGCACACCTGGTGTGACGCGATGAGTCTTCAATGTGGCTGCCGTCTACAAGAGCCTCGAGTGCGCCAAGTGCATCTGGACCTCTGGGTTGAAAGTTCCATGGAAATACTAGTATGCAGCTACGGGAGGCACGGTCCCCGCTAGCCTTCTTCGCATATTGCTGGCGTTGCAGTGACGGCTTGCTACCTCGGTGGACGTGAGCGTTGCTTGATTCGTGGACACTCGCGGACCTCGTCTCTCTTCGAGTGTGGCCTTTCTGGGCGATGACGGCAGGCACCAGAGATTGCTAATCTGCAATCTGCAACTGCAATTTCGAAGTCCCAACCAGTTTTGTGCGATTACCGGTCGGCAACTTCGCTCGCAACTCGAAGGCTGCGTCGCCGACACGTGCGTGTCCCACAGCGCCGGCCTCGGTTCTTTTCAAGGACGCATACAAACCCGAGTCTAAAATTAATTGTTTATTTAAATAGAATCACATTACACACGCCCAATTGCAACAACTGGGTCGTAAATCCCACGTGAAAAGCGAAGGTGCTGTGTCAAAACCACCAGGTGGAAACGCAGCTGTAAAAACCACGTAACGTGGGAAAAAGGTTTCCCACGTAGCGTCCTAACGGTGCGCAGTTAACGATTGCGAGCGCATTTCCTCCAATTTCTCGACGCGCGACCAAGCTATAAATTACATGATGCAATCAGTCTGTGATGCAATGGTGATAACGTTGGCTCCAACACATGCGCTGGCAAGCCAACAAGCGATGAACAAAAGATGAGCCCACGCGACATCGACATCAACCTCTAGTACTACACGTCGCAAAATAACCCAAGCCCCTTCGTGTCGGACGATCGATCATCTTACTGCGCTGCTCCAAGAGCTCTGTACATAGATGTGCGTCCAGCCTTGTACCTAGAGGGCACGGGTTCTACAAGCTTAGCCAGTACTAGTATGCCACAACCGCTGATAAAACGCACACGGAGCGCAAACCTTTCTGCATTCAAGATCCGTCTAACCTTGATCCAAACAGCTTTAACGCGCTGGAGCAACCGCCCGTCGACTGTGCGCACCACCTCGGCCGCACGCGTCTGGACTAAAGCACCAACGTTCGTTGCCGACGGCGTGCGCCTTCTCAAAACCTGCGAATGATAGTCGACACAATCGAACGCTCATACACGCGACAACGTCTTTGCCCATTTCCTCCTCTCGGCAGTCGTTTCTACAAACGGAGCCCATCAAAAACCGCGCCAACGCCCCAGCGTGTCATCATGGAAAACGACGTGAAAAACAGTGAAAAATGTGTCGAATGTGATCAAGGTGAAAATAACACAGCTGGTGTGATCGGCGCTCGGACAGGCGGTCGCCAGCTGTGTGGAGTTGATGCCGTGGCGCTCGATCAGATCGCCAGCTGGCGCTGTTCCGAGGTCCGCAATCCTTGGCGACGGTGGCTCAGTCTCCAACTTGCCTCGCATCGATGACATCGTACGCTGCCGTCAAGTCGCCGACGGCCAACGAGGCCAGCGTCTGGGGCGAGAAAGAGCACCCACTCGAGCACGCCAACTGGTTTGTCAATGGTACCATGGGCTGGATCACGCCGCTCATCACGCGCGGCGCCAAGAAGACGCTTACCGAAGACGACGTGTGGCCGCTGCCCTTTGCCGACACGACGCAAGAGCTGCATGCACGCTTCATCACCGAGTGGGAGAAGGAAAAGCACATGCCAACACCCAAGTTCCACCGCGCGCTCTGGCACGCGTTCCGATCCCGCGTCTCGTTTAGCTTCTTCCTCTTTTTCGTCTACGCCGGCTTGCAGCTCTTGCAGCCGCTCTTGATCAAGTCGATGCTCGAGTTCCTCAAGGCGCCCGACACCAAGACGATCGTCGACGGCGACCGCACGATCACGGTGGCCGCCGAGATCCACACGTCGCTGCACATCTCGTCCGGGTATGCGCTCGCGGTCTGCCTCACCGTCCTCTCGTTCGTCTCGGTCACGATCATCGACTACGCCCAGTACGCGACGTCGCACCTCGGTATCAACGCCAAGTCGATCATGATCGACATGGTCTGCTACAAGACGCTTCGGCTCTCGGGCTTTGCCAAGCAAGAAATGACGACCGGCGAGATCGTCACGATGGCGTCCGTCGACGCCGAGCGGCTCTCGATGGGCTTTATGCTCGGCTACTGGGCCTTCGTGAGCCCGATCATGCTCGGCGCCGTCTTTGTCATGGTCGGAAACGAGCTCGGGTGGCAGGTCGGCCTCGTCGGCGCCGCCTCCATCTACATCTTCCTCTACGTCGGGTACATCTCGGGCATGAAGGTCGGCGAGGTCCGCCGCGACCTCCTCAAGGTCCAAGCCGAGCGCGTCAAGCTCACCAACGAAGTGCTCCAGGGCATCCGCGTCGTCAAGCTCTACGCGTGGGAGGCGAGCCTCCAGGCGCAGCTGGCCGAGATCCGTCTCCGCGAACTCGCGTTCCTCAAGTCGTACCAAACGCGCCGGACGTTCAACACAGTGCTCATGTACATTGGCCCTGTCTTCTCGCTCGCGCTCTGCCTCATGTACTACGTCGCCTTGGGCAACGAGCTCACGCTCCCGATCTCGTTCACGGCGCTCGCCTACATGAACACCGCGCGCATGCCGTGCACGATCTTCTCGACCGCCGTCATGTCGGTGGCCGAAGCGATTGCGTCCTGCCAGCGCGTCAGCAAATTCCTCGTCTCGGACGAAGTCGAAGTGCTTGCGATCGAAGCCGGCGACGCCATGGTCAACATTGCCCACGGCGACTTTAGCTGGGCGGCACCCGACCAGGCGGACGTTCTTGTTGTGGACGCCGAAGCCAACGCCGAGACGACGACGCCGTCGGCTCTCACGCTCAAGAACATCAACCTGCAGCTCGAGCCCGGGAGTCTGACGATCGTGGTCGGGCCCGTCGGTAGTGGCAAGTCGAGCCTCGTGAGCGCGATCCTTGGCGAAATCCACCAAGTCGGCGGTGTCCGCAACGTCGTCGGCAACATCTCGTACGTCAACCAAGAAGCTTGGATCCAGCACGCGACGCTCAAGAAGAACATCCTCTTTGCGACCGAGTTGGACGACGACTACTACAATGCTGTCTTGTCGGCGTGCCAGCTCAAGCCCGACTTGGAGATGCTGCCGGACGGTGACGCGACCGAGATTGGCGAGCGTGGCATCAACTTGAGCGGCGGCCAAAAGGCGCGCGTGAGCCTCGCCCGCGGCGTGTACCACCGCAAGGCCGACATCTACCTCCTCGACGACCCACTCAGTGCCCTCGACGTGCACGTGGCAACGGCGGTCTTTCACGAGTGCATTCGTGGCCTCCTTGGCGGTAAGACGACGGTCCTGGTGCTCAATAGCCACTACCATTTTCTGCCGCTCGCCGATCGTGTTTTGCTCATGGACAACGGGTCGATCGTTGGTGACGGCACGTACGAGTCGCTCAAGTCGACGTTCCCGCACCTGATGAACTTTACCGAGCACAAGTCGGCCGAGCCGTCCGACGACGAAGGCGACGACGACCAACAAGAAAATGCGACCAAGGATGAGAAGAAGGCGGTCAAGGAGACGGCGGCCGGCAAGCCCGCGGCGCTTGAGAAGGTCGGACCGAACGGCAAGGGTGGGCTCATGTCGAAGGAAGACCGGGGCAAGGGCGCGGTGACCATGGGCACGTACAAGATGTACTTTGGCGCGAGCGGCTTCAACGGCTACGTGGTCGGCTTCTCGATCCTCGCCTTCTTCGTACTTGCGCAGACGTCGCTGGCCATGACCGATTGGTTCATGAGTTACTGGGCCAACACGTCGTGGATGAACACAAGCGTCCGCTACGGCTGGGTGTACGTCGGCATCGCGCTCTTCTCGTGCCTCCTGACGTACGGGCGATCGCTGTACGTGCTCTTCATCGCGATCCTCTGCTCCAAGTCGCTGCACGCGATGCTCTTCCAGAAGGTCGTCAACGCGCCCGTCCCGACCTTCTTTGATATCACGCCCATGGGTCGGATCCTCAACCGCTTCTCGAGCGACCTCGATCAAGTCGACTCGATGCTGCCGTACATGGGCCTCCTCTTCCTCCAGTTCCTCTTCCAAGCGCTGGCGGTCCTCGCAGTGTGCATGGTCGCAACGCCGTGGATCCTCGTCGTCTACGCGCCGCTCGCCTACCTCTTTTACAAGATCCAGCAGTACTACAACAAGAGCGCCGGGGAGCTCAAGCGCATGGACGGTATCGCGCGGTCGCCGGTCGTGACGCTGGTCCAGGAGACGGTCTCGGGTCTCTCGACGATCCGCGCCTTCAGCATGGCCGACGCCTTCCTGCACAAGCAGCGCGACGCCGTCGACAACTACGTGAGCTTCTCGTTCGCCTACATGTGCGCTGGCCGGTGGTTCCAGATGCGCCTCGACTGGCTCAGCTCGGCGATCATCGCTGGCGTCGCCTTCATTGCCGTCTTTGGGAAGGACTCGATCGGGCTCGTTGCGGCGGGTCTCTCGCTCACGTACGCGACGCAGATCTCGACGATCCTCTCCCGCGTCGCGACCTTTATGACGATGATCGAAAACATCATGACGTCGGTCGAGCGCCTCGGCCACTTCCAGTCGCTCGACAACGAGGATGACACGACGATCGATCGCGTCACTGTCAACGCGTCGTGGCCGGCGCAGGGTGTCATCACCTTTAACAACTACTCGATGCGGTACCGCGACCACCTCGACCTCGTCCTCAACGAGATCAGCTTCACGGTGCCGTCGGGCGCCAAGGTCGGCATCTGCGGCCGCACCGGCTCGGGCAAGAGCTCACTCATGGCCGCGCTCTTCCGCATGGTGCCGAGTGCGACCGGCTCGATTGTCATCGACGACGTCAACATTGCCAACGTGTCGGTGACGACGCTCCGGTCGCGGCTCACGATCATCCCGCAAGACCCGGTGCTCTTCTCTGGCTCGCTGCGCTTCAACTTGGATCCGTCGGGCAAGGCATCCGACGACGAGCTCTGGACGGTCCTCAAGCAAGTGCACTTGGGTGACGGCATTGCGTCGCTGGACGACGAGGTGGCCGAGCGCGGCAGCAACTTCTCCGTGGGCCAGCGCCAGCTGCTCTGCATTGCGCGCGCCTTGTTGCGCAAGAGCAAGGTGGTCGTCCTCGACGAAGCGACCGCCAACATCGACCTCGAGTCGGACAAGCGCATCCAGGCGACGATCAAGGAGTGCTTTGTGGGCATCACGATGCTCATCATTGCCCATCGACTCGACACGATCATCGACTCGGACCGGATTCTGGTGCTCGACGCTGGCCGCGTCGTCGAGTACGACACGCCGACGGCGCTGCTTGCGATTCCAGACGGGTCGTTTGCCAAGCTCGCAGAACAGGCGCACCTCCAAGGTTGAACCATCCCTCTCCACACCTACAAAATACCTTTTCCAGTTAAGGCATAAATACTCGTAGTATGTTTTAGAAGGCATAGAGTGTCAATTTCATCGTAGTTTTCATGATTTGTATCAAGTGCATCGGTTGATACAATTCAAGATTGCGTTGTGTTGCATTTGCTCAAGAGATCATGGGCGCTGGTAGTCGCGGCTTGCACGATGTATATACATTGAGTTTGATGCCATCGTAGCCATCTCTGGGCCCGTAAATCCATGTCATGGGAGGCGCCGCCGCATGCATGAGTGTATCAGAGGATAGTTGGCTTGTATTCCACTTTGCCTCTACACAGCTTGTAGCAATGATGTAGCGATCGCGGTTGACGCAAGCTCGTACGAATTCCAACAGTTTCAAGGCATCAGAAGCTGTTCTGGACCGTCATATCAATGTAATTGGCGTCCTCAAGCGGTACCTACAAGGGCTCAAAGTCCGTACCAGCGTTAAACGCATTAGACCTCTTGCTGCAAAGAAGCCTAGCTTATAATCGTTGTGCTATACTGAAAGTGTCTGTCGACAGTCTGGACGCTTGGTGGTTGCCGTCGGACAACGGCCAGCGATGGACGGTTTGCAGTTGGTTTTCGGAAACGTCTCGTTCAGCCAACGACACCAAGAGGCAGCATGATGGACGTCGGTAGCATCCAGGACGACATGATCCGCGAGCTCATGGTGTTCATTGCGAGCGCCGAGTTCCAAGCAGCGTTCGAAGACTTTTTCCTCTCGCACGCGCTCACGTTTTCCGACGAAGAGGAGCACCGGCTCGAGTACACGGCCATCTTTCAAAAGTTCCAGTCTCTCTTTGAAGACCACATGCAGCGTACGTCTCGACGATGTCCAACGACTTATGCATGCCAGGGTTCTACGAGGCGCACAGCATCACCGAGGCGGATTTCGCCAAGCGCTGTCGGGCGGTACGTCAACGCTTGCGTCGCTGGCTTCAGCGGCGCGTAGGCGGTCAAGGCGGACCCCAAGGCGAGTCAGTACCTCGACATCGTCCTCGCGTCCATGGACTACCAAGCCTTCTTCAACTTGATGAAGTTTATGCGCAAGCGGGCGGCGACCGAGACAAAAGGCAAGCGCAAATTTCAGGCCGACGCCAAAGACGACGCAAAGAGCGGCGATACAAAAGCTGGCGCCAAGACGCGAGCGGACGACGAGAGCAAGTAGACAACTCATTAGTCGTGGATATGCAAGGTGATGATGGTACAAAGCATGCTTAGCGCGTCTCTTCCATGCCCGTCTTGACGATGTAAAAGAGGGCGTGGATGGCGTGGATGTTGTTGGCCTTGATCGCCTTGCGGCACGCGACGATGACACTCGACTTGGCCTGGCCGACGCGAAGCCGCGCAGCGAGCTGGATCATGTTGTTGACTTCCTTGAGCGCGTCCAAGAGCGCTTGGTGGTTGGTGCTACGTTTCGTGTACTCACCGAGGAGCTGGTTGTTGAGGGTAAAGAGCTCGGCGTAGTAGCTCCGCATGCGACCCCTAATCGCCGAAGCGACGATGACACGGCCCATCATGATCTTTCGTCAATGTACATGTCGTTGAGGAGACGCGCGTCCTCGGCGCGGATGACGAGGTTCTTGATTTGGTTCGAGTCGTCGGCCATTTCGCCCGTGAGCTTGAGTCGAATGCTGTTGCAGTCATCAACCTAGGCGAACAACCTCTGTCGAGCAAGAAAGATACGACACGGTTGTCGCTGTACCCGCATGAGGAGGTCCCGAAACTCGGCCATTTGCTTGGGAAAGTCGGCAATCGACGCCAGCTCCTCAATCTACTCGCAAGCATACGTCGTAGAACCGAGAAGCGGCAGTCGACCTCGAGGTACGAGCAGAGGTCTTGGACAATCTCGGCCGCCATGGCCATGTCGTCGATATGAATAAACGTCTACGCAGGGAGCGTTTGCCCAGTGTGCGCCCAATGGACAGAGTAGTGTACGTCGTTGGGGGTGACAACAATCGCGAGGTCCATTTTGCCGCCAATGTGACGAAAGTACAAGTCGTGGTTGGGGCTCTCCTCGATCGGGTCCGGGAGCAAGAAAGCCGACTTGACCCACGCGCCAAACTAAACCGATTGTCTCGTAACGATGCAAAACGATATAGAGCAAACGCACTTGCTGCTGCATCTTGGAGAGCGTGCGAAACTTGACGACGCCGAGCGGCCGGTCCTTGGGCGGCGTCTTGAGCAGCGAGAAAACACCAAATTTGGGCAGCTGAAAGTGTTCTTCAAACACATGAAAGACAGACGCATTGCCGCGCGTGCCCACCTAATCGTGTACGCTATTGTCATGTCGTTTGTAGACTGAAAACGTACCAGCACTTTAAAGTGCAATTTGGCCGCTGCGGTCTTTTTGACCGACCGGATCTGCACCGTGGCTGTCGGACTCGGCGTCGCTGGCCGCAGCACGAGCGACTCGCCATCAAAGATGCCTGCGTCATAGTCGTACACGACCACCATCTATGCATTAAATCCAGTGGAACATGTGGAAATGGCTTGCTCTACCTTGATGACGCTCTCCGTGTCGGTCGAGACCGCCAGCTCGATGCTCGCGCTCGCCATGGACGCCGATGCTTTGATTGTGATGCTAGAGACCATTCGGAGTCCAAAGTGACACCGCACTACCTACCGCGTCGAGGGAGCGAGCCGTGCGTTCGTGCTCTTTGTCGTCTTGGCGACAGCGTTCTCAAACGCCTTGAGCTCCGCGGCCAAGTTGGCTTTGGATTTGATGAGTTCCTGGACTTCTCTTTCTTCGGCCGAGACGTGGTCGGGCATGAGCGCGCTGGCGGCAACGGCGTTGGCGCCCATGCCACCCGCAAAGAGGTACCCGCGGATCTAACACCATCGAAAAGATACAATAAGCAACCAATAAGACAGTACGAGCGTCATTACCTCGCCGTCCTGGGCGCAGCAAAGCACTTCTTCCTGGCCACGCGTGCAATAGTCGGCCGTCAAGACAGACGCAATCGGCGCGGCAAACGTATCGCGGTACACGACTTCGCCGTTCGTGAGGTTGCGCGCTTCAAAGCGGCCGTTGCTCCAGCCAATCACAATCTACACACGTGGCATCGCGACGTGAAAACGATGGACTCTACCTCCTTGTCGCCGTCGCCGTTGATGTCAAAGGCGTTGATGGACGTCGGAACGTTCTTGCTCTTGACGCGCCAGACGCGGTGCTTGCCCTTGTAGACGCCGACAGTACCGTTCTCGAGGGCGTACCCAAAGAGATGCTTGTCGATGGCGCACAAGTCGACGATGCGGCTCGACTCGTGGCACTCGCAGACAACGTCTTCTTGCTGGAACGCTCGAATCTCAAAGTCGTCCGACCCAACGACAAGCTCGTCCTTACCGCTGCCCGAGACGTCGCAGATCGTCATCGCGGTCACGTTGTCGCCGGTGACGGTCCAGAAGAGCTCGGTGCCCTCCTTGTCAAAGCCCTGGGCGCCGCCACTGTTACGGACCATGATCATGTGTAGGCATTCTGTACCTGGATCGAGCAGTTGCCGCCGACGATGACCATGCGCGATGGAATTGTCGGAAGAGAGCCAAAAAGCATCGTGTTGACGCCATCCGGCACGTCCTTGTAGAACGTATCCGAGTTCTTCTCGACGTTGTAGCCCAAGATGTTGGCCTGCGTGCCCACGATGAGCGTGTCGCCGTCGTCATTGTCCTTGAACTTGCCGACGCTCAACGCCGAGATTTGCCGATTGATGTTGAGGAACCGAACGGAAGGCGCCGACTCGGTCTCGTTGTGCTCGTGCGGAGAGTGGAGGAAGACCTTGCCCGAGCTCGTCGCGCACGCCAGCGACGGGTGCGTCCCATCAAACTTGCCGACTTTGGCCAAGCGCGCCAAAATGGCTTGCTGCATGTGCAGCTTGAACGACGGCAGCATCGTCGTCGTCGCCAACGGTCGTCTGTGCACCGCGATCTTTTGTAAAAGATTCCAACACACACTATTTCCGTGTAGAAAGGCAATTTCGAATGTCCACTCCACAGCGCGGGTGTATGTGCTGTATCCAGGCGCAGAGATCTCTTGTCTGTCAATCCCACCAAATGCCACGTTCATTCCATCTTGAAGCGTTTGCTTCGCATCCCTGGTACTACTCGCGTACTGTACTTTGGCGACATGGCAGAGATGGATGAAATGACATTTTCGCTGACATATTCCAAGTTGTAGATTCGCACTAGATGCGATGGTGCGCGCTGCGCAAGACGCGCCGCGTGAAGAAGGCGCCGTCGGCGTGGCCAAACCCCGAGAGCGGTGAAAAGTCAAAGGTCGCAGCGTTCCCGAATTCAGACTCGTTGACGTCGATCCAGCCGCACTCGATCGCATCAATGACGCGCTCCATGTCGTCGTCGCCCTCCTTGCCGTAGACGTACGCTTTGAGGCGCGCGGGCGCCGCATTCGCTTCGGCGATCACGTCGGCGATTGTCTGGAACGTGCGCAGCAGCGCGACGGGGCCAAAGAGCTCGGCCTGGACATGCGAGTCGACGCCTTCGAGGAGCGTCGGCGCCATGTAGTAGCCCGTTTCTGGCACCTTGACATCTTTTGCTGAAATCATCGATGTCTCTGGGAGCTCCAGAAGCTTGGCCACGGTCGCGTGGAGGGTCGTTGCGATGCACATGTTGAGCGCACCCATTGCGTTCGCTTCGTCCCGCGGGTCGCCGATCGAGAGCGTCGATGCTTGCTGCACGAACGCGTCCACAAACGCGTCGCGGAGACTCGCGTGGACAAGGACATTGGAGGCGCCGCAGCAGTACTGGCCGTTGATGCACGAAAAGGTCTTGAGCAGACCGGCCACCGCAGCATCCACGTCAGCCCCGGGCAGCACTACAAACGGATTGACGCCCCCGAGCTCGAGCGCATATGGCTTGAGCGTCGGTGCACACAGCGCTGCGATCTCAAGCCCGACGCGGGTCGAGCCCGTAAAGCACACGCCTTTAACGAGCGGCGATGCAACGAGCTGCGTCGCGACGGCCGCGCCGCCGTGGACGATCTGGATCAACCCACGGGGCAAGTCGGCCGCGACGACAGCGTCGATGAAGACGTTGAACGCGTGCGGGCTGTACGGCGACGGCTTGACGAGCACCGGGCAGCCAAAGTAGATGGCCGAGAGGATTTGGATCAACGACGACCCGAGCGGCGCGTTCGTGGGCGCAAGCACGACGATCGGACCCAGCGGGATGGCTTTGAGCGCGCCTTTGCCAGACGCGAGCGGTGCCCACACGTCGACGTTCTCGGCTTCGTCCTTGAGACTCGCGTTGCGCAGCTGCGACGGGTTGCGGAGGACGCTGGGGCCGTAGTTGGAGATGGCGTTGCGGTCGCCGACGTCGATCATTTCGGCGATCCGAATGTCTTCGTGCCGCGCCTCGAGCTCGCTGGCAAAGCGCTCGAACACGACGTCGCGCTCGGGGCTACGCAGGAGGCGGGTCCAGACGCCGGAGCTGTGCAAAGCGTCCGCGACGGCAAGCGCGGCTTCGACGTCCGTGGCTGCGGTGGCGAGAAGCGGCGTCAAGGGAGCGCCGGTCGCAGCGTCTTGGGTCGACGGAAACAAGTCGGCTTCGGCAAAGTCGGTCACGGTCGGCGGGACGCGCTCGTTGTTGATGAGGTTGTCGAGCGTGCGGACGTAAGCGGGATGTGTGGTCGTCATGGCAAAAATGGAAATGAACATTAAACGAGACGCTTGGACGCTGCCACGTGGGTGGGACGCCGCCATCTGGTGTTGGCAATCTGGCGAAATGTGTCTAATCACTGCATCTGGGCAAGCGTCGGTGGCAACGACCCGACGTCGTCACCCATTGATTAGACACAAAGATTCGCAGATACCAGTAGCTCCAGCAATTTACAAGGCGCCAGTCGACGCCGTCTTCGTTCCAAAAAACGACGTCCCTAGTTCTTGGTCGGCACACAACCATAATGTACGTCGCTCATCGTCGTGGCCTGGGATTTCTGCTCCTCCGCGCAATGTGTTGGTAGCACATTTGGCGCGTCTTCGATCGATATAGCCAAGCAGAAGCGTACGTGAAGCACACGGTCATTTGATCCAGCACTAGTCAGGCAATACGACCACATCAAGGACATGCAATTATGTTGATTATAGTGTACAGAGGACAACGTCACGTCCCTAGTCGAGCTCGTACATGACGTCATTGGTGAAGCGACTGATGAGCGCCGCCTTGGTCGCCGGCGCCATCGTCGCAGCCACTGCTTCGGCGGCTTGGACAGGCGTCTCCGCCTTGCAAACACTCAGAACGACGAGGACATTGTCGTCGGCCACCGACGCGACGCTGCACTTCGCAGGCTCAAGATACGTGTCGTCAAAGTCCTTGGTCAAGCAGTACGACTGCGCCTCGCGCAGCGTGCGGAACCGAAGCGTCATGCGCGACGAAGTAAACTCTGTCTCAACGCTCGACGGATCGACCGACGGCACGTCGACGAGAAGAGAAATCGACGTTCCGTCGTCGCTCGTTGAGATTCGGAACGGCGGCGTTTTGAGTGCGCCAACCTTGGTGCACACGACGGCCATGTTGGTCGTCGCAATATCATGCGTCCACTCGGCAATATTGGCGACGGAGAAGGACCATTCAAACCAGAGACCCTCCGCGGTGCGGAATTGAAGGCGCGCAACGTTGGCTTCTTCGAGGATCGAGACGGTCGCCGCTTCGATACCGGGTACGTGCACAAGGTACGAGATATGCGACTCGGTCTCTTGCTCCGTCACCTTGGGCGTCTTGTACGTGATCCTACAGGCTTGACATCAGGAATCAATTCAAGGTGTCAGGATTGTCGTCTACCGAGGCTTGTCGTGGAGGGCCATGGCCGCAAATTCGCGGTACGGGGCAAATTCATCGGTGGGTGGAAGCTTTGGAGTCGTCACCTGTTGGACTGCCAACACGTCTGTGGCCACCACGGACGGGACCGTTGCTGGCGGCGACGCGGCAGCTGTAGCTTTCACATGGTCTTGCTGGACCGTCTCGGTTGTCTGTGCGTCGGCACTGCCGTCGTTGATAGGCGCATCTTTGCTTGTCGACTCGACACGGGTCCTACCGAAAAACGTGATGAGAACGAGTGAGACACATAGGGAGGAGGTACGGTGCCGTGGGCCGAGGTGCTTCGGGGACGACCGGTAGCGTCACGATGAGCTTCTTGGTCGCCTTGTCAAACTTGGCCACGCCCTTGGCTTCCACGACCGGAAAAGGCAGATCGATGCACAGCGGCGCATACGCCTTTGACTCGACCTTGACCTGTGTGGCCGAGACGTCCAGGTCGATGCCCGCCGCCGACGTCTACCATAATAGCGACAATACTTGCATGAGACAATTGCAGTGGGAGAGAAGAATACGTGTACATGGGTCGGGAGATCCATCTTGAGCACGAGTTCGCGCGGCCGAAAGAGTTTCTTCTCGCCGTTTTCCATGTGGTCGGCCATGTCAAACTGCCCGCGCTGGACGATCTGAAACACAATCGCGGGTCTAGTTGAGATTCAGACGATGCGTTGAGTTGCACTTGCGTACTTGGCAACCACCGTTGCTGACTTGGTCTTGGTCGTCGGTGTCGAAGACGGTGCAGTGGTCGGCTTGGTCGATGACGGCTTGGTGTTGGGCTTGGCCTTCACACTAGTTGTCGGCGGCGCCTTGGCGGTGGGCACTGCTGCTGGGCTATTCGACTTGGCAGCACTCGAACTCGTTGCACTACAAAGACAGTGAACAAGTAAATATTACCACCCTCGTTTGGATAGAATGAACCTCTCGGAGGAAGTCTTGGGCGTCGAGATGCACATTGTGATCGGCGATCCTGTCTTGTACGACACGCCCTTCAAGATGTGATAGTCTACGCATCTCATGAGCGCATGGACGTCGACGAATTGCATGTACCGCGGGAGACCTGGCCGTCGTTCGGGTTCGTCTTGGAGAGTGCGAGGTCGACGCCATCCAGCGCCGTACCGATGAGCATCTTGAGGAACGCGGCGCTGTCACGGCCGCGCGCCAGCGTCTGCGGATGGTAGCACACGTCAAACGTCATGACGGCTTGGCCACCTGCGTCGCCATCGTCACTGCCGCCATCCGCCACACGGAAGAGTACCTTTGTCGTGCTCCATGCGCTGTGGGCCCACGCAGTACGGGAGGTTCCAGGACGTGCCGGCGGCGACCTGCGGCGACGGCGCGACCTTGGTGCTCGACGGCGGCTGAATCTTGTCGGACGAGCAGATGTTGACAAAGACCTTGCGCGCCTGGAGCTTGGTCTTGAGCACGAAGCCCGGCGTCGGCAGCACGAGCTGCTTGTCGGTCGGGACCTTGTTGTCGTTCTCGAGCTGGCGCAGATACGCCTCCTGCTCGGCGCGGTGCGTCGGGTCCGAGATCTCGAGCATGTACTCGTTGAGGAGCGACCGGAACTCCGGGTCCTTCATCGCCTTGACGAAGCTCTGCTGCTCGTCCGGCGTCATGTCGAACTTGTCGGCGCGGGCCTTGTCGGCGGCCGCGGCGGCAAACGCCGCTTCGAGCGGGCTCGGATCTTCACCAGCCATGGTCAAATCGAAAGTCGAAGCTCCGCAGCGGCTTCGATGGATGTTATTTAATTATACCCGCTCGCTTTCTTTTAAAAAGCGTTATGTAACACATCGACCGCACGACTTGAGTATATTTTTAGGCGCGATGAACCTCGAGGAGCGCTTGGCGCATCTGCAGTGGCGCAAGGTCTGCAACGAGAGCCAGATCCAGGGCGCGCTCAAGCAGACCAAGCAGCTTGTCGACCGGGATACGCTCCTGAACGCGACCGAATCCAAAGATGCGTCCAAGTGGGTTCGCCGCGTCGTGCAAACCGAGCTCGCCAAGCCCCTCGAGGTAATCGTCGCAATGGATAGTGTAGAATATATGTATCCTAAATTACAATATTGGATAGATATCGCTCGAGCAGTACGAGCAGATTTTGCGCGAGAATGACGCCGAGAGTGCGGCGCTGGAGCGAGCGAGCGCGCTGCATGCCAACAGCGTAGCCGCGATCCAGGCGAAAATGAAGTTGCGAGAAGAGCACGCCAAGCGACTGCGGCATTACCGCAAGCACAAGCAGCTCTTTCTCAAGCAAGATGACGCGGCTGCTAGCCCCCATCGCCATCCCCACAAGGACAACAACGAGTCGCATCCGAGCAGAGCCAAGCACTAGCCATCGTTTTGCATCGTTCATATTACACTCTTCATTGAAAAGGACACTCGGTTGAGAGAATATGCTCACTTGAACGTCACGAGCTCAATGTCAAAGACGAGGTTGGTGTTGGGCGGCACTGTACCACATTGAGTTGAGGAAGCACCCGATGCGCCGCAGCATACGTAGACACTCACTCACGATACAAAAAAGGATATAGTCCTGGAAAGCCACGCTTCCCGTACGCCTTGTCGGCAGGAATGTAGATCTTGGCGCGCTCCTTCATGCAGAGCTAGCCCACCTTTAGCTACCAGCACGACGACGCATCGCTGCACGCACCCGCTCGATGCCTTCGTCCAAGCCCGGAATCACTTGCTCCGCCCCGAGCTTAAACTTGAAAGGCTTGTCGCGGTCGCGCGACGAGTCGAACTTCTTGCCATCTTGGAGCTACGCATGCGCCTCGTCATGCGGCAGAAGTCGGGCGACGGCGTACGTAAGCCGTGTAGTGGACGACGACCGTTTGACCTTTACGCGGGTAGTTGACGCCGTCGCCAGCGACGAAGACCTCGACCTGCACCTCGCCAGCCTTCTACGTCGGCCGTGAGCGTACTGCGCGCAGGCGCTGCCACGTACGAGGTCGAGCGCCGAGTACTCCTTCTCGCGATGGCCCATGCGCGCCGCTTCGAAAATGGTAGCTACGGGCGCGCTTGATTGGCTCGGTCTTATCCGGATACCCAATCAAACGATAGCATCGAAGATTTGCAGGGATCGTGACGTTGAAGGGTGGACGGGACGACATCCACTTTGCATTGATGACGGCCAAGGCGCTTGTCGGCACGGCCGCCGCCGACTGGACTGCGCTCTCGGTGGCCATGGGTCGGACCATGATCCCGTACATCGCAGTGCTCTCGAGCCTCCTCTTCGCCGTCGCGCCGCTGCCAGACGTCCGGCGTATCCGCGTCGCCAAGAGTACGCTGACCTTGCCGTTTGGCCCGTTCTTCTTTTACTTGCTGCAGTCAGCGCTCTTCCTCTTGTATGCATGCGTGACGTCCAACCGTCTGCTCCAGACGACCACGACCGTCGGCGCTGTCCTTGGCGCGTACTACGTGGCCACCTACTACACGTACACGCTCGAGAAGGTACATTGGCATGAGCCGAAGCGTTTTGGAAACAAACACGAGCTTTTGTAGCGACTGGCGCGCTGGTACCTCCTTCTTGGCGCGCTCTTGTATGTGTTCTTGCTGCACGGCGCCATGGTCAAGCCCACGCACGAAGCGAAAGTGCTCGTCGGCATTCCTGGTGCGAACGAGCCTCTCTGGTCCGACGATATGAATGCAGCCATGCAGGCAACATCGTCATGGTACTGACTGCAGTCTCGCCGCTGTCCAAGCTGCCCGACATCATTCGCCGGCGAGACGCTTCGTGCCTTCCCGTGGGCATGTCGGTAGGCGCCCTTTCAATTCTATGCCATGGCTAAGACGAGGTACTAGATCATGAACGTTGTGGCGGGCGGTGTCTGGACGTTGTACGGTCTCATGCTTGACGACATGGTCGTTGTCTTTCCAAACGCCATTAGCACTCTCGTCGGATTTGTGCAGGTACCGTATCACATTTGGGCAAGCTTCTTACTCTCTCTTTATATCTAGGTGGGTCTTCTGGCCAAGTATCCGCCGACACTCAAAGACCAGCATGTGGTCTAACCTTTATCGATCGACGTCATGCCTGTGCATAGAGACAACAACGACAGGCATTTATTGTTGATAGCAAAACGAATATTTTCCTGTGGGATGCAAGCCACGTTGACGTTTGTAGCTAATTGGGACGCGTGCCGTTGCCAGCAGGGTCTGGATTGCCGAGGTACACCCGGTAGTAGGGCGAGAAGGCCAGGATCAGCGGCAGGAAGAGCTGGAGGCCGTCGAGGAGGCCACCGTGGACGCCAAAGATGCCGCGTGGTGGCGCGTCGCCAGCAACCTGCTTGAGCACAGCAAGGAACAACCTTCCGAGGTTGGCAACGAAGATTGCGCCGCCAGTGTACACGACGCTGGCGCTTGTGGACCCGACAATATCGACGTGGAGCGTCGTGAAGAACATACCGAGGATGCCTCCGAGGCAGCTCGCGAGGATCTCGAAAAGGCGCGGCGAGTCGGCGCCAAGGCAGCGCACGAGGGGCAGGTTGCACCGCGAGGATCCGCACGACTTTTCGAGGCAGCGGTGCCAGAGGTACTGAGCAAAGGACGCGCCGATCGTCGCGTAGAGAACGCCGCTGAGCAAGTTGACTGCAAACGTTTGGTGCAGGTGCTCAATGTAGCCCGAGATCGCACTGCAGCAGCCGAAAATGTACATGAAGCCGACAAGGTGGTGGCAAATCAAGATGAGCGACACGATCGGTGGTGCGGGACTGAAGAGCATGAGCGCAATGATGAGGCTTCCACCCTAGCACAAGGTCATGTGGCAAGTCTGTCGTCGAAAGTGCATGTGTGTGGTAATACCTGCGCGTAGAGCTCGCCATTGTCCATGACAAACTTGTGCGAGAGAACGGACGCTTGGTACGCAATGGCATCGATGCTGACGCAGACGAAGAACGCGCCAAAGCAAATGAGCGTCACTGCGGCCGACCACGACGGACAGTAGACGCTCAAGAGCCCGGACCCGCCGCCCGTAAACGTACCCAGCGCCTTGATCGTCCGCGGGTACATGACGCCTTTCGACTAGATTCACATTGCTTGTTATCCAAAATTTCCCCATGGACGCAGACATACCGAGTTGAGAACGTTAAACCCGTACCATGTGCAGCCATAGTAGGTGCTGCCACCCATCACACCAGCGAGAAGGCTCACGAGAATGAGACGGCCGCCAAAGAAGCGATCGGCGAGCGCTTGGCCGCACGAATCAGTGCCATCTACAAACAATGAAATCTCGATTTGGAGAGAAGGATGCGTACTTGGCGACTGGTCTGGGTCGAGCGACGCGGTGAGGGCGCGAGTGCTGTGGTGAGCGAGCCATAGAAACTCGTACGAGCAGAGGAGGAGCGAAGTCGCGGCGAAGAAGGGCGCCGAGCGGTCCCAAAGGTACGCCTGCGCAATAGCAAAGAGACCCAAGAACGCGATCGTTGTGCCAAGCTGGACGCCGCACGCGTGCGCCTTGGGGCAGTTGGCAAAAACGACGGTGCTCAGTCGCGAGGAAGACGCAGAGGAAGAGACAGTCTCGCGCGGTGTTGCAGGTACACCCAAGTACGTCGACTTGGCGAGCTCTTCGTCCATGTCGTCGTACATGCTCGAGGTGGGAAACATCGATCCTTCGATCGAAACGACGCTTGGAAATCTGCCGTTAATTGCGGACCTCCTGGAATCATCGTTTAATTTGTACGAACCAGTCCCTTGTCAAGTTGGCGCTCCTTGTACTCCTACGCAGTCCATCGTCATGAGAAAGAATGGAACTACACGGTAGTACAGGTAGACGCACCAGGACTTCTTGCGGAAGCTCGTCGTCTTGCGCTCCGACAAAGCATTCACCGACGCTACGTCCGTAATAATGCAAAACGTAGAATGACCGAGTCCAGAGGCACATAATGCATATAAAGAGTCGCAAGCAATCCTACCTCGCAAAGAAGACGCGAGCGTCTTCGCTCATGGCCCAATTGGCTCGAATGCAAATGGCGCGCTTGGCGCCCATGGCCGGGAATGCGTCCGCTACATAAAATCGTTAGGGTTCAGTTGTGTAGATGTATTGAAGTACCCAACTTCTCGGCGTGCGATGCAAGCACAAACACAATGACATCCCCGTAAAGTACTTGGCGTGTTCTCTGGCAGAAAAGACGTCGCCCATCAAGTCGTGTGTCTCGAGAAGGAGAGCGTCGCCGTTGACGCCGTTCGCACAGAAGTGCAACACGGTGCTCCGGGGCTCGATATCTTCGCTATCAACGAGCAACATCCCATCTCACGTATAACAATATGGTCAACGTACAATGTAGCAGGCGCTGAACCCTTTGATGACCGCATCGTACAAGTCGGCTTCAACATCGATGCGCTAGTAAAAAGGCCTCGGAAACCTCATACATCGAGGCGCATGTGTATGTTGCACTTGGTCACTGCACCGTCGCGTCCTGCCAGCACGAACGGCGACGCGTGCAGAAACGTCTAGACGTGGAAGCGTCATGTCGAGCAAGTGGGAGGTACAGGAGCATAC